GTTGCAATCCAGTTGCACAACATTTAGGTTTTATATGGAAACAATCTCATGTATAATTCACACAGCTTGACATCTGTTATTCAACAAAATGTTGTAAAAACAATTTTTGTGGATATAGAAACAATTTAGTTTTTTGCAACAATTCTTGTAAAACAAAATCCTACAACTGTTGTATGGAATTTCTAGAATTATTGGAAACAATGTTTTATTAAATTTTTATATTGTAATTTGAATAAATTTGAATTTAACTTTGATTTGTGCTGTAAAGAAGTTTCCAAGGAAACATAAGGAAAAAATGGAATTTTTCCTAAGATTTTTTTGTTTATTTTAGAACATGTTTTTTAGTTGCCATACATTAAATTATCATATTTAATTTGATATCATATTTAATTATATATTCTAAGCTGCTTCTATCAAAATCTTCACTAGGGTTTCACATTTCCCGTAAATTTAGCATCCCGGGATTTGCGGTGTGTAACTTATATATCCCGGGGTTTCCCACTATTTTGCAGCATAATTTTTAATATAATAACAAGTGGTTTCTGACACAAATTTATCTTAACACGCAAATATATATTACTATTTAAAATAAAATATTGTTTTAAAAAACATAAACAATCAGTTGATTTGTCACTTAATCATGAACAAATTTTTCCCATAATTTTTTTGACCCGTGGCAGAAAAAATTTTGATTCTAAAAACTAAACTTTTGCTAGATATTCAAATTGGCTTAAAAAGTTTTAATTTCTTTTGTGAGTTTTTTTAAATTGCTAATGTTTTCTAGAGCAGCTTTTTCTACTTGTTTGACATTACAAATAGTTGCATTTTTGTTTAAGTGTCAAAATACTTTTGCCTAATAAATTTGAAACAACAGGTTGAGGTATTGAGTGGTCAGAAACGATGCTTTCATTATCACGGCTCAATCAACTATTTTATTATTTGATGAACTAGTGCTAGCATCCTCTACGTATACCCTGGTATAAATTTTTTTTGCTGTTGCTTTTAATGCATGTTTGGATGGTAAGAGTAGTTTGGAGTTGATATTTGATTCCTGATTATAACTGATTGGGTTGTTTAAAAATTTTAGTTGTCCAATTAAATTGGGATTTCTGCGTTCTTCAATTCTCTGCTGCACAGGTTGAAAAGATTGTTTATTAGCTATAAGAAAATTTTCTCTGCTAAATCGTCTAAGATGAATATCATTACACAATCTGCGTCAAGTAGAGTAGCATTACTTCTACCAAGTCATTCTATTTCAACTTTTATTGGTTGCAGAGAAATTGTTATATTGTTCATAATCGCATATTCATCTTCGGAGATATTCAGAACTTCTTTTAAATCGATCATTGCTTTTAGTATACATGTTTTTACTTTATGGAATCTTTCTAGCATTGCAACAAGGCTATTCCACCTCATTTTGACATCTCATATCAGCTTAAGTTCTTTATAAAACATTGATTTTAGGTACATTTGTAAAGCTTCATTTTTAAGAGGTGATTTGCGTAATTTTGGTAACACCATGCCTTTTTTAGACAATGATTTTCTAATGAATTCACTTTTTGTTATGGCATTTATTGAGAAGCGATCTACCATTGCTAGCTTTGACATAATTTCCTCAATAGTCTGCTGTTTAACAAACAATGTGATTTTCTTTTGCACAATTTTAATTTCCGAACCAGTATCTTCATGTAGATGCTTCATATTTAAGTCCAAGTCTTTATGTGCATTTTTTAAATGATGTAGGAGCCCACATTGCAGATTTGCCAAATTTTTCTTTATAAAAATACTGCCATGCTTTCGATCCATTTACACTTGACATGGTATAACTAAATTGAATCGTAAAACAACTAAAAGTAAAGTTACAAATATTTCTTACATATGTATGTTATCTTACGTATGACTTTAAATGTCTTTGTTTAAATGTCTTTGTTTTTTAAATACAAAAGTTATTAAATATTTCAATAATTTAATACAAAAAAAGTTTTCAATAATTTAGAAGTTTAAAAATCAAACTTACTGTTTTCGTTGCAAGAAATCTTTTATATTTTTTACTCATATTTTATAATAACAAGAAAAAAGAAAACATTGCATTGCAGTACATTCCTTGAGTTGAGAGTTTAATAAAGTTTCAATAACATTTCTTGTTGTGCTTTTAGTATTATATATATATAAGGTATGAACACATAAAACGCAACTAAATGAAATATTTTTCTTATTTTTGATTGAATTAGTTTAAACTGTTATTATATGTAAAATAAAAAAAATCCAATCATTCTTAAATTTATCCGTTCATTCAAACAATCATTTATAAATTCATCATCGTTCAATATGTTAAAATGTTAAAATTTGATAAACTCTTTATATTTCTTTTTTTCAATGCTCAGAAGCGTTCTTTTGATCTTTTGTTAAGGTGCACATTTGGTGCACTTATTTTTCTGATTACAATTGGATAAAATGGATAAAATAAAATTTATTATGTTTTAGTAATATTTTCTTTATGTTTTGCACTGTAATTGTTTGTATCATATCATTAATACATCAGAAAAACAATCTTCAGCAGCAGTTAGTTTTCTAATATTTATTCATCGTCATCAATTATTTTATTCATATCCATCAATGTATATATAAACCTCTAGCATTTCCCTAATTTAGTATTATTTCAGATTGCAGATCAAAGTATACGCTTATAGTATTTATGTTTTTTTTTTTTGTGTGCAGTTGACAAGTTTGTTAAGGTTTGTGTTACACAATTTAAGATTTATAAAAATGGTAACATCAGTTAAGAGAAAATAAAAAAGTAAATTAAAAAAATTGTAGTGTCTTAGACTATAGTGGTGCCCTTGTCTTTAGGTAAAAACTGTAAAAATAATAATAAAAATAAATATGTTAATTTATGTTTTATGTTGCTTTTAATTTTATTATATTTTATATACATTTTTTATTCAATAGAAGTTAGTAAAAATTAAGTTTTTTTGTTGTTGAAAAAAGCAAACTTTTAATATTTTATATAACAAAAATGTTATTATAATGTATTAGATATGTTATTATAATGTATTAGAAACACAAGAACATAGTTTTAATACATTACAAGAACATAGTTTTACTACATTTGAATACAAATTTACAAAGTGTTGGTAACAACTTTCCTTCGATAAATTTTTAAAATTACAACTTTCCTTTAATATATTTTTTAAAGTGCTCAGTGATACGGTTGTAAAGACTTTTTATCAAAATAAATTAAAAAAAAAAATACAAGAAGCAAATTCCAAAAATTTCTTTGCTAATTAGTTGAAAGTTGAGGTAATTGTAACATATTTAACTTCTGCATCTGTATGCGTAAGTTAAATATGCATGTGTATGCAGAAGTTAAAATATGCTGAGTAGCTGATATATTTTTCTATATAAAACAGTTCAACATGGTTATGACTATCAACATATTTTTATAATTCGTCGTTTTATAAATTGTTGATGAACAAAAATGGATTTCGATTTACAATGGAAAAACTTCTTACAAAACTTCTTGTGAAAATTATTTCGTAAATCATTACATCAAGTCTGGAAGAAACTTATTAAAGTTAAGTGTTGATAAAAATATTTTAAGTGAAGAAAAAAATCTTATAATTCAATTCAACATGGTATAATTTATTTGAGAAAAAACTAACAATTGTTCAGTCAGTGTAATTTTAAATACCTATAAACAGCATAGGTATAGCATAGATGAGTTTTTTCCGGGAATTCCTGAAATTCCATAAATTCACTTGAAACTCTTTTAATTTACCAGAAACTTCTGAATATTTTTGTTGTTAATTTGAAAAAAATTATATAAAATTTTAAATACAACAACATTTACACTTAAACAAATATGTTTTCTATAATTAAAATTTTCATTAGATCAATTTTGCTGACAATTTTTATTTACTTTTTTTTTTATTTATTCATATTAACTTTTTCGAATATTAGAAATACATTTTTGTAAAAAAGTTAAATAATCTAAAATCTGTTTTAAATATTTAAAAAAGTTTAAAAATTTGAAAAAGATGGAATTCCATCGAAAAAACAAAAAATTTGAAGAATGTTTCTGAAAAAAAAATCGTCTCACATAAATGGTGCAAAACAGTTAACGAATCTATTAAAAAAAAAAAGCTGAAGAACATTTTGCAGCATAAAATTATAAGAATATTAATATATATAAGAGTATTATTTTCTGAACCATTGAGTGACATTTTATATTTAAAAAGTAAATAAAATATTAGCCTTTGCAAATTGTTTGTGGTAAAACTGAAATATTATTTGATTTTAGAGAATTTTAAGAGAAACATATTTGTTCAGTAGTGTTTAATTACTTTATTTATCCCTTTACCAACGTTCCAGAATTTACCCAAATACCTTTATCAATTTGTTGATTGTATACTTTTCTGGGATTTTCCGGGATTCTCATAGAAAAAAATTTCCTGGTTTTTTATCTATGCTAATCAGTAATCAGGCTAATTTATACCAATAATCTGTGTATCACTTATTTACTAATTATTTTAAATTTGATTGTGCATTTAAAAGGGAGAGTTATCTTATCATTTTTTTTTTATCTTACTCAGCATAAATTATCTTACTCAGCATAAATTATCTTACTCAGCATAAATTATCTTACTCAGCATAAATTATCTTACTCAGCATAAATTATTTTACTCAGCATAAATTATCTTACTCAGCATAAATCTTACTCGTATCTAAAGCATAAAACTTGTTTTCTTTGTCACTTTTTTTATTGCTAATTTGGCATTTACTAAATGAGTTATTTAGTTAAAGACTAATTTTGTTTTGCCTTGTTTGCTTCGTTCATTTTTCATTCGTGCATGTGTCAACTTTGTAAAAAAGATACAAAGGAAATTTCAACATTTTAAAGCAACATATAACATATTTAAAAGCTTAATTTAAATTTTTATTTATTTTCAATTAAAAAAAATAACATAAAAAAATTGCAAATTATTAAATTTTTGTTTTAGCATGTTCATGTTCATGTTCTTCCTCGCAAAATCTTAGACTTTTCCAGCAATGATCAAATTTATACACAGGTGATTAGTTTATTTTTTAATCAGATAAAAGTTCTAAGAATTTTTTTACTTTTTAGTGTTGTTTTAATAATTTTCAATTGTTTAAATTAATATATTTTTTGAAAATTTGCAATATGTATGCAAATATAATTTTTTTAAATGAATTGTACTTAGTGCTCTAAAACTTGCTTAAAAGGTTTAGATTAGTTATAGTTACTTGATAAATATATTTAATAAAATGTTTTACAAATATTTTTTTTAGTTACCTTTTTATGTAATATATTAAGTGTTATTATTACATAATATAGAGAAAGTAATATTTTTATTTATGTTATAAGGGTTGCCGTAATTTTAAAGTATTGAAAAATTAAATAAAGGACTCAATATGTTTTGATACACCACCAATGTGGTCTAATTTTTAAAAACCTAAAGTCAACTATAAGATAAAAACCTAAAGATAATGAAAAAATAAAAAGTATTGAACTTGACAAAAAAATCACATTTTTGAGTAAATTTTTTAAATCTTTTAAAACAATCTTGATCAAACTAAAAGAAGAACAAAATCTTTTCTAAAACTTTTTTTGAAGGTTTAGCTTTTTATTGAAGGTTTTTTATTTAAAGGTTTAGCTTTTTATCTCCAAAAGTTGGAAAGTCAAAAAAAGTATCAAGTTTTTAAAAAAAATGTAATCAGTTTCTACCCAAATGTTTAAATTTTTTTTTTCCTTTTTATTTTAAGTTATATTTTGTCAATAGGAAATAAAGTTTACAATCGTAGTTTATAAAGAATAATTACATGACTGGTGCAAGAACACAAACTTAGTCTTATCACCAAGCCCCAAATTCAAATGAAAAAAACATATAAATTTAAAAGGAAGGATTTAGTTATAGTTTGTAAAAATCTGATGATGTCACAAGAAATCTTCTACTCATAGCATCAATGCTTGTTGTTGGAATGCTGTTTGGAATTGTTGGAATACTCATAACATCAATGCTGTTGAAATAATATTTATTAGTACAAAGTAATTATTACTAATAGTTTAAATAAATAGTTTAATTCAGCAAAACTAATCAATATTTAATTTGTTTACTAAATAACTGTAAATAAAGCTTTAAAATAAGTTAATTGTGAATTATATAAACTAAAATTAAGTTATTAAACAAATTGAAAACAATTTTTAAAAAATAATTAAAAGCAAATTGACAAAGGATTATGATTTTATGCTTCCTTTATTCAATTTTAGATGCAACAGTTGTGTATGTTAGATGCAACAGTTGTGTATGTATATATGTGTGTTATACGTGTATATACGTGTGTTATACATGTATATACGTGTGTTTTTTAAATCATTTAATGTAATATTTTGGATCATTTTATATGTTAAATTTTTTATTTGTATAATTTTTTAAATTATTTCTTCAATTTATCAATTATCAAATTCTAAAATAAAACTTGTAAAAATTAAAGCTGTCAATTGGCTTATTATTTATAACAATTTTTATAAATAATTATTAATTAAAATTGTTATAAATAATAAGCCAACTGTCCAGATAAATTTAAACTTGTTGATACTTTACAAAGCATAAAATGTTTACTTTTACTGAAAGTCTATATAACCAACATCTTAGCTGATATCATTGCTCAACTAATTGCCACTCAGAAAGTAACTTGTTGCAGAAATATAAATACTCCAAACGTCAGAAATCAGAAATACTCCATTTGTGAGAATAGCTTGTATGGATTACTTTGTGAGTTCATTAGATCTTGTGAATTCTTGTTGACTTTTGTCCTTATCAATTATATTTGTATGTATCAAAATCAAGCTGTTGTTTTGATTGCAAAGTGATATTCAAATTGTAAGCAACAAGTAAATAACAAGCCATATTCAACAGTAAGTCTACTGAATGGAAAGACTACCAGAAGTGATAAAAGAAAGTGTCCAATTCTATTTTAATTTACATACTAGACATTAACAACTACTAGTATGACTGAAAAAATATGCAGGCAATATCCTAGCTCGATATTTCATAAAATCTTTCAGTCTCACAATCCTACAAGAAGTAACAATTTAATGATGGTGTGATAAAAAATAATTTTGTGATGGTGTGATGAAAAATAATTTTATGATGGTGCAATCAAAAATATTTTAATGATGGTGTGATGACAAATAATTTTATGATGGTGCGATGAAAAATAATTTTATGATGGTGCGAAGATGATGGTGGGATGATGATGGTGCGATGATGATGGTGTGATGATGATGGTGTGATGAAAAATAATCGGCCAAGTTTTTTAGTCAGTCAAAATGGAAAAAAAAGGAAAATTTTTTTGTAAAGATGTAATGATGTATGTTAGTTGTTATGCTTGATGTAATGATGTATGTTAGTTGTTATGCTTGATGTAATGAAGTATGTTAGTTGTTATGCTTGATGTAATGATGTATGTTAGTTGTTATGCTTGATGTAATGATGTATGTTAGTTGTTATGCTTGATGTAATGATGTATGTTAGTTGTTATGCTTGATGTAATGATGTATGTTAGTTGTTATGCTTGATGTAATGATGTATGTTAGTTGTTATGCTTGATGTAATGATGTATGTTAGTTGTTATGCTTGATGTAATGATGTATGTTAGTTGTTATGCTTGATGTAATGATGCAAATTTAGTGCTAGCTCTAGTCCTGGGGTTATTTAAATAAAATTTAAATTTCATCACGAAAATTGCACGAAGAATAATTGGACACCAAAGTACAATAACGAGGTTTTAAAACTTAATCTTAAAGAATTGTAACAAAACAAACTTGCAAAGTTTTGATATCTAGTTTATAGGTGACTTAAATTATTATTTATTTTAATAAAATATTATATTAAAAATATTAATAAAATAAATATTATTTGCACAAATTTTATTTGCACAAAATAAAAAACTGTTTTTTACTTTGAACTCATTTTATTTAACAGAACATAAAGGATTTTAGTGAATTGTATTATATAATTTTAAAATAATACTACATTTAAAACAGTATACTTTTCAATAACTTAGTTGTAATAAATTCTTATTTGAGCAGCCATGATGATTTGCAACAAAAATAAAAAATGAGGCAACGATAAGACTGCAGTTTAAGTTGTTTTTGTATATTGTGTAAAAAAAGAAGAGCATTATATGGAGACCAATAAAATCCAAAGATCTAGATCCAATTCTTTTTTTGACTTTTAGTGTTCTGGTTTTAATGGTACGCTGATATAATGGTAATGTATCTAAGAAATTTTACATTTGACATTTTAATGTAGTTATTATATATCTGTGCAAAAACAGAAAAACTTGTTGTTTTTTTTAGAATAAAGATTTTTATTTAATAAGATCCAGTGCAAATTTTCTGGTGTCTGGTTAAAATGCTAAAGAAATAAATATCATGAATTTTATAAGATATTAGCATATATTAAGGTTTTATTAAAAGAAAAAATTTTATATTGAACACCATTAAAGTTGTACTCACTAAACATTATTTTTAACAATGATAATTTTGAAATATAATTTTTTTTTTATCTTTTTTTTTTCAAATTTAATTTTTTGTTTTCAAATCTAAAATATGATATAATGTATATACTTTTATATATTTAGTATATCATATTTTACATATGTATACATATGTATTATTTTTACATATATATATATATATATATATATATATATATATATATATATATATATATATATATATATATATATATATATATATATATATATATATATATATATATATATATATATATATTTAAAAAAATGTAAAAAAATTATTATTTAAAAAAAAACGTTTTTTATTTATTGAGATCCAGTTTTATAATAAGAAAAAGAAAAATAAGAAAAAAAATATATATATATATGGGGCACACACAAAAATTATATATTAGGCACCAGTGATATTTTCGTACACGAGAACGAAAACGAGAACGAAAAAAAAAGCCTTTTGTTTACGAAAACGAAAACTAAAACGAAATTTATTTTAAGAACGAGAACAGAATAAAAACGATAATTTTAAATTTTCGAACGGAATAAAAACTGAATCGAAAATTATTTTAAAACGAAATATTTTCGTTCTAGATTTGAAACGAGTTGAATTATTTGATATATATAATTATTATATTACAATACATTATAATGATATATTATTCGAACTTAATTGAATTTTGTTCAATTAAGTTCGAATAAGTTTAGTTATGATATAGTTCGAATATATTTATTCGAATATATTTTTTCGAACTAAAAAAAATCAAACTGTAAGACCAACACAACTACGCGATGAGTTTGAGTAAACTTTTTGCTGGTAGGAAGAGGAATAGTTCAGTATGGAAATGGTTTAAATACGATGTGTCATCCGACAAATCAGTATGTTTAGTTTTACTTGATGGTGAAAAAGTATGCAATACAAAGTTGTGTGGAAAGAACCCAACAAATCTTAAAGTTAGTTTATCTGTTAGAGGATATGTTTTCATTTTGAAACAAACGACTCATTTTTATCATTTTAGAGTAATTATTCAATAACGTATACGAACTTATTTATACATTAATTGATAAACAGATAGATAAATAAACATATAAATATACAAACAAAAAATTATATAAATATGTTTATTTTTTTCTTGCTACATTTAGCAAGAAACCATAAGTCTGTACACGTTGAGCTGGAAGAGTCGGAATTAAAGAAATTAAGTGAAAAAAAGCAAACAGGGATAAAGAGAAAAGCAGTGGATGAAAATGGACCCACTCTTTTAGAATCGTCCTCAAATCAGAACCAGACCTTGATTCAATGCATTAATCGTAGGAATACCGCATGGCCTATTAATTCACACGAGCATAAAATTCGACTAAACTTTCTTATTCAAATGATAATTGCAACATGTAATCCAGTGACATTGGTGGATAATGCGAGTTTTAGAAAGTTAGTTAATACCTTGGATTATAAATTTTCATTGCCTGCTTCTGCCAAAATTACTAGCCTACTTAATGAAGAGTTTACTGTTTTAACGAGAAAACTTCGTGACTTCATATCTGAAGGCAGGCGCTTCACAATATGCCTTGATGGCTGGACTAAAAAAGGTCTTATTGCGTCCTTTTTAGGAATTTCGGTTTGTTTTTTTCACTTCAAATCCGAAAAACCAATACATGCTCTGCTTAATTTGTGTCTTGTGAAACATCCACATACAGGTGAACAAATTGCTATTTGTTTTGAAAATGCCTAAAATATTGGAATATTTCCAGAGAAAAAATATTGCTTGTTATTTCGGACAATGGAGCAAACATGGTCAAAGGCATAAAGTTGTCGAGAATGAAAGCTCAAGCTGAACGTGATATACTTATTGAATTAGAAAGTGAGGTTAATGAAGAGCAGATAACAGATCTGGAAGACGATGAGAATATGACAAATAGTGAAGAGTGGGAACATGTTGACTTGATAGTTGATGTAATAGAAAACGTAGCATTTAGAAGATTGGGATGCATTGCACATGTTATACAGCTAGTTGTAAAACTTGCATATGATGGTAAATATCATGGCTTACTTTTGAAGGTACGTGGATTAGTGGGAAAAGTTCGCAAATCTTCTGTTGCATTGGAAAAAATTATCAACAAATGTGGTAAGACTGTGATCAGCGACTGTTCTACAAGATGGAACAGCACTTACTTTATGGTTCGGAGATTTCTGGAAATAAAGACATCTATCAACGAAGTTCTTGGAGACTTTAACATTGATTCACTTGCCAATAGCGAATGGATAATGCTTCAGGATTTTGTCAATCTTTTAGAACCTTTTGCCAATGAAACTGATATTCTTCAGACGGATGCACTTTCACTATCCAGTGTTATACCTTCAATACTTAATTTAGAATGTCACCTTGAGCAATTTGGAGATGCCAAAGATGTAGCAGTTAAAATGCTTGAAGATCTACGCCGTCGTTTTGCCGTTCTTTTGCAGCCAAACGATCCTAATTTTAATCCACTGCCATGTGCCGCATGTCTACTTGACCCCACATGTGCAATAGCTCTTTTAGGTAATGAGCATACACAAATCAGAGAGTGTGCAAAGAAATACATTTTGTCAGAGGCTAAAAAATCGGTGCAACATGATTTACCTTTAGCAAGTGCATCTACTCTTTCTGTTGAGATAGCTCCAGAAATAAATGGATTAACAAAATGGAAATTTTTAGCGGCAAAACAGCGAGTAGAAAAAATAAAGCTTATTCCAGGTAATGAAGCACAAAATGAACTCAACAAATATTTTATTGAAATAAGGAACAGCTCTATGTGCCAAAATGCTTTAAATTTCTGGAAGATGAGACGTGCTGTTTACCCACATATTGCACCATTAGCTGAAGGCCTCATTGCAGCTCCTGCAACTCAAGCATATGTTGAAAGACTTTTTTCAATCTGTGGCTTGCTCACAAATGGACGGAGAAATCGAATGTCAGCTTCATTGGAAATGCGAGTTTTCTTAAAACTAAATTCTCATCTAGTCTAGATGATAATCATATAATCACTAGGCCCTTTATTTGTAAAATATATGAGTAATTATTAAAGTCTATACAATAACTATTCATTAGTTTTTATTGTTACCAAATTTGAGGAGTTTTTTTTATACCTAATAATTGAAATTTTTTTAAGTTTTGGAGCAATAAGGACAGGTTGTTGTTGTGTTTTTTATTAAGGGCGGTGGGCGGGGCTCTAAACTTCTAGCCATGGGACTGGGTGTATTACATTTAATTAAGTTCTCATTTTTTTGTTTGTTTATAGAACTAAGACTTACTTCTTTTAATTATATATGCCTATATTATTTATAAATTATACTAAATTATAATTAGATGAGATAAAAAATTTATACGACAAACGAAAATTGAACTAAATAAAAACTAAAACTAAAATTATTTTAAGATGAACTGAATAAAAACTAGAACTTAATTTATTTACTGAACTGAATAAGAACTAGAACTAAAAACTTTGCCTCTAAACTGAATAAAAACTAAAACTAAAATTATTTTCCGAACAAAAATATCACTGTTGGGCACACCCAAAAAATACTTTTATTAGAGATTACACCTGCAAAAGGGTTACATATGCAATAGCGGTTACATATATTTACACATTTGTTACCTCAGTTACATCTAAAAAAAATGTAAAATTATAAAAGTATTATTTAAATATAAAACGTCTCAATTTTATAATTTAAAAATTTAATAATTGATGAATTTAAAATTTTTAATTATTTTTATTTAAAAATGTTTCCTACATATATTACTTATGTTTATAAATTCTCAATAATTTATATTTAGTTAGAAAAGCACGATAAAGGTTTGTTTGAAGATGCTGAGTTTTACAAAAAACACGATACATTGCTTCGCAGTGAAAAGCAAATGGCAGAAGAAGCTGCTACTCTTAAAGCTTATTTTATTTAATGTTCAAGTCTTTTTGTAATTTTCATAAAGTAACTTTATTTATTAATTCTAAAAGTTGTCATAGTTTTTTATTTTAAATATAATTGCTTATAAATTTGGACCACTCAATAAAATCGGCGTCCGATGCCATAACCGAATTTGTGAAAATGTTCTAGAACCGTCTAAAAACTGCTTAGAATCGATAAAAATATTACTATTTTCTAGAATCGAATTTATTGAACATAGAATGAGATGATCGAATATTATTAAAAGTTTAATGAAACGAAAAAAACTTTAAAAAAACTTAATTACTCTTTACAATCGAATAATTTAGCATCGATTTTTTTACAATCGAATTTGTAATTTTAAAAACTCAATTACTTTTCGCGGCATCGAATTTTTTTCAATCGTTTTTTTTTTATATTGTAATTTTAATGCATTTGTGATGCAGTTGAATGACGGCATAACTTTTTCAAACTGGTTTTTGTGTTAAAGGTTAAAGTCTACATGATCCACTTTATGCATGTAAAAATATATATAGCTTTGTTTAAATTTAAAATAGCAAAATGGAATACATAAAAATTGAAAGTAACAAACGGAAAACATTTGTGTATGTTGCAGGGGACTTTGGCTACATCAAAAATAAGGAAAACAATGGTTTTGTGTATCTCAAGTGTAAACACCGTCAACTTTGTGACGGAAGTGCAAAAATAGTTTTGTTTACTAATTTACTTAAGACAATACATGGTCACAGCTCTTGAGAAAATGCGAGACATGGCTTCAACTACATAGCTACCTTTGCGTGAAATCTATAACCATGTAATCCAGTCCTCAAATGAAGGTGTCAAGGCTGCACTTACTTTCAGAAAGTGTGAACAAATTCTACAGAGTGCCCGAAGAAGTCGCTATAATACAAACCCTAAATCTCCAAATGAGGCAATTCTAAACATTTTGCAACCCAATCCATTTTCTAACATCTACAAAGGCCTTGTAGAGTTTGAGGATCATCTAGCTTTGTTCTTTTGTTTTTCAACACTGCTGACATAATTGTCAGGTAAATCATTTAAGTTATAATTAATTTCAACATCAAAATGGGGGAAACTAATTTTTTATTAATTTAGATCCCAGCTATTTTAAAACGTTAATCATTTCTCATTTTCAGAAACCACTATCCTGTTTGTTGATGCTACATTTTGTGTGGTTCCTGCCATTTTCTATTTGGTCAGCTGTTCATTATTTCACTGGAGTTTGGAACAATGATCCTTCCTGTTCTGTATAAATTAATGACTGGACGAAAAGAAGGTCTCTACCTACGTGTTTTTAAAAAGCTTCACAAAATTTCTCTAACTTTAGTGCCACAGACTGTGATGGCTAACTATGAAACTGCAATCGGAAACTCTGCCAAAGCTGATTTTCCAAACATGAGAATAACCGGTTGCAGGTTTCATTATGTCTAGGCAATTCTCAAAAAGATTAAGGACATTGGTCTGCAGGTGGAATACACCAAGAATAATGACCCAATCATCAGAAAATGGTGTCGTAAGTTCATTTCCATGTGCTTGCTACCACCCAATTTAGTAAGGCCTGAAATTGACAAACTAAAAGCTGATGCTAACCATCACAATGACATTGCTGTTAAAGAAAAAATGAAAAAGTTTGTTCAGTATTACGAAAATATTGGATGTTTCAAAAACCTCCTGAGACGTTTTCTGTTCATGGCCTGCGTCATCATACTAACAACGTCTCTGAATCCTTACAATCCAAAAATAACTAATTACAATATTTAAATAACTAATTACAATATTTAACAATAAACAAAAAGTATTTACTGCATTATATTCATGTTAGGGGTTTGTTGTTGTTTTTGACAAGTGGAGACTTCTCTTTGTTGGGACAGTGACAAGGTGACAATTCAGTAACAATTTTACTAGTTAGACTTTTTATATTTATGCCTTTTTTTGGAATTAACTGTTAATAAAGAATCTCAATCAAATGGACAAGCTGCTGTGGTGGAAAGACCAATCGAAAATGTCTGCAAAGTTTGTCTCATCAACAGTCTTCAAGTTTTTGTTTTCCCTAGCCGTCATCTTTGCTTATGCCAGCAATGTGCTGAAACCATTCAAAGTAGTGCTATTAATCACTGTCCAGTATGCAGAGGACCAACAGCAGATTTAATAAATGTATTTATTTAATGTATTATTTAATGTATTATTTAATGTATTATTTAATGTATTATTTAATGTATTATTTAATGTATTATTTAATGTATTATTTAATGTTTTATTTAATGTATTATTTAATTTATTATATGTATTATTTAATGTACTATTATGTTGTAGACTTTTGTATACATTAAAATTTTAATTTATTTAACTGATTCAATTCTAGAAGATTCGGTTTTAGATGGAGGTTATATATTATTCGACTGAAACAAGTTTTAATAACTTAATTAAAAAAATTCGATCCTAAAAAATTCGACTGTAAATGGTTCTATCCTAACAAATAAAGTTAAAATTCGATTCTAAATAGCTTCAATCAATAAAAAATTCGATTGTCTCATTCTATTCTATTTAAATACGGTTCTTACATTGGACACAATAAAATCAACGATTTTATAAAAAAATTTCGTATTTTGTATTTTTGATTTGATTGACTTTTATTAAAAAATAACTTAAAAAATTTACTTAGGTGGGCGTTAAAAGTTTATTTATTTTTAACGCCCATCTAAGTTTACTATTGCGTGCGCTCAATCGCGCACCTAAACATGATTTAGAACTTTCGCTTTTGTAGATGTAAAATGGTGGGTTGAACGCTACTTTGGGTAACAAGCGCGCGCAACCTAAATAATGACTACTATCAAGGTGTTTTTTACTTTGGGTTACAAGCGCGCGCAACCTAAATAATGACTATAATCAAGATGTTTTTTACTTTAGGCTGCAAGCGCGTACAAGTCAAAAGGTGACTTTTATGGGACCTTAGCGCTCATTGTAGTAACCGTGCGCTCATCGCTGTTAGCAAGTTTTAGAGTTTTGTTTGGCTTTGAATATACTTATAATGGATAAGAAATTATCATCAGTATACTACAGCCCTAAAGGGTATTGGCGTGGAGTTTCTGCTATTAAAAAGCTCGCAACAACCGAAAAAGAAAAGGAAGCAGGCTTTGTGGCAAACTTATTTAGCAGCTCCAAGCTACATACCAAGATCAACTATAAATGAAAGCAGCCTTAATACAGTTCATCAGGCAGACTTACTTTATTCACCATATGACAAAGTTAGTCTTAGTAAGTAGCTTGGAGCTGCTAAATAAATTTGCCACACAGCCTGCTTCCCTAACTTTTGCGGCTGTTACGAGCTCAGGTAGATCCTGGCCGCAATAATTTATGGGAGCAACAACTCAACTTCTCACGAAGCAAAATGTTCAGGTATGACAAGGCACAGCCGCAAACTATCGCGAGCAGAGGATTGTTGAGCGTTTTAAGCGTACTTTAGCAGAAAGGTTATTTGGTGCACAGTATGCTCAATAAATGTTAATGGCAGCACATGGTTGCTCAATAAATGTTAATGGCAAGCACGTCGACGAGCTACAAATCCAATTTGGTCAATGACTACTCACACTATTGATTCTGTAATGCTTTATCATCTTGTCGGCGGACCTAAACGACGCTTTGTTCGTGAAGAGCTATTTATTGTCCCAGATGGGACTGAGTTAACACAAATCCGAATCATTAAGTAATCATGCTGTTGTGTGGTGACCATAAGCTAGGGTGGTAACACCATCTGGATGGAGCCATTTTTTAATGTTGAGTAAGGATAGAGACGTTTTGATCTGTTCATATATACCAATATGGTGGCCTTTGCTAATTTTTTTGGACTTATGCATGCTTTGTTTCTTTTCGGTATTTAAGGCATTTCTTATATGACTCATGTTTTAGGTCATTGTTAACAACAGTTCCGCATACTTCCTAGCTTTCATTTTATATTTACAATCAGATTCAAGGATAGAGTACATCTTGGGCCTCAGGGCTACAAATTCAGCAATGAAGCGCCCATTACACTTATCTTTGAATTTTCCTAAGGCTTTTTCATTTTTATCATCAAAGTATGGATAATCTTTGGGGTACTCTGAGAGGTCATATAGCTAAGAGTTATCACGCATGTCTTTGTGAATATCTGATGTTTCAATTTCAAAGAGAAGAGAGTCTGTATCAGTGTATAGCAACTGTGCTTTCTCACCATATTTAGTCTTGATTTGGTTGTACCAGAAGTCATACACGAGGTGCTTACTGTTATCAAGGACAGCTTGCCCAACATTTATTGGGCGGTTCAGCTTCAGTTTTTCTTTTGTGCTACGTATGGAAGCCAGATCACCATCAAATATTTTCTGGCTTAGAAATACAGGGTCTGCAACAAGCTTTTGCAAGCGATCTTCTTCACTGCTGCGGACAAGGATGACCCGTATTCGTTTCCGCAAATGTTCCATTGTCTTTCCGAAGGCACTGTTATTCATAACAATAATAAGCTTGAAAAAAGTCTTTTTAAACTTAGAAGGAATTTTTTTCCTTAGGTCAGTATTATGCTCAATGTACGGAGCAATTAAAGGTTTCTGTCTGAACTTTATTGCCCGATGAATTTTAGTAACTTGCATCCTAAGTGATTGATACAGTTTTAGATTGTGATAATGCACAATATACTTTTCCTTTTGTCGAAAGCTAGGAACTAGTTTTTTGCACTCGGTGAAATTAGTGTTGAGTTTCTTAACTAATTTTACTGGTACTCGCTTAATCATTCTTCAGGCACAACCAGTGTTTCAGGAGCAAGTGGATAGTAGTTATGGCTATCATGCAAGTGCTGAGGATACTCGATGTCACACTCGACAACATATCCTTCGGTTGCATTATCAGTTGTTGCTAGAACTTCATCAATTATTTCATTTTATCACACCAACGGAAGCCATTGATAGATAAGTAATGCATCATAACCCACCCATACAGTTTATTAGCGTCAAGGTATGAAATATAGGTATTTGGCTTTAAGCTATCATACTCTGGACATTCAGAGTTATTCGCTTTCGCAAA